TACTTAAATCTCAGTAGGCGATGACGTATTTCCATTACACTTAAATTAACTTGATTAAAAGTGGTCAAAAACCTTCACCTCAGAAGTTAACTTATTTTGTCATCTCTGATTTTCCTTTTCCCTCTTGGTCTGTCGCTGGAACATCAAACCAGATGAAGAAGCTCTGTATAACAGAGAAATCTAAAGTTAGCTGGTCCCTTTTGTATCCAGGGCAGCCCGGGGAAATAGTATTGTGGTATGATTCAATCTGTTTCCCTCAAACCGTACTAAAAGCTGAATTGATAGTTCAGTTTTTATATATAATAACTCTTTCGTTGATAACAAACATTTTCATGGCGGGCAACTTGCATAGGGCATGTTTAAAACCTAAAAAGGATTTGAGGTAAGCTAATTGGTACAGCCTAATATTTTTTTTTCGTTTACTATTCAACGATTTATTTGTACAGTGCTGATTTCGGGACAAAATGAAAAAAAACTTGAAATGTAAATTGCGCTCATCTGAAATCGGATTGACTCTAGACAAAAAAGATGATACAAAACTTTCAGCCTTACAAAAATTTCAACAGAATTAATATGCTTCATTTCAGGGGCGGATTTAGGGGGGGTGGGGGCGGACGCTTCCTCTCAGGGATTCGACCCCCTGCCGACCCAAAGGGTCCCCCCTTTGGTACTTTTTAAGAAATCCATTTTTGGCCAACCGACCCTAAAATTTTTCTAAAGGCGCCTTTGGCGCTAATATATTCTATTATTTTTGAGGTGGGAGCGCGCGCCAAAAAAACGCAATTTTTTGGTCAAAATTTTCCAAAAAGTGCCTAAAAACACCTTTTTTGGACTGTTTTTTCAATTTTTGCCTGCGGCGCAGAAAATGTTGCCAAAAAAGGGACTAAACCATCCTTAGGGAGAGCTCAAAAATCATTTCGGTTGACCTAAAAAAAAAAAGTCGACAAAATTTTCGAAATTTTTTTTAAAAATCCCCCCCCCCACCTCGAGAAAATCCTAGATCCGCCCCTGCTTCATTTTAATTTGCAAAAATCGGGTCCAAAATTTAACCCCAAAAGCGACAATATTTTGCAGTTTTATAAAAGATTACGCCGAAATTATTGATTCAATTGCTGAAAAAAATAAATCAATGTGAGCCATTTCTGTTGTCCAACAATGTTCAATAGGGGCTCAATCTCCAAAATTGGTCGCAGAATTTTTTTCAAATTTTTTTAATGTTTTAAAGTAAAAATTGGTACTTAATATAATCAAATTGCCATGTTTTGGTTATCAAACAAAAATAATTTTTTTTATACAAAACTGGAGCAATTATAGCCTTCTAAAATTATGTCGGGTATATAAGAGGCTCACTTTGATACATTGTTTTCAGCAATTGAACTAATATTTTCGGCGTAATTTTTGATAGACTGAACAAAAATTGAAATCCTTTGTTTTTGGAATTGAATTTGATCCAAAAAGTTTGTAAAAAAAATGCACCATAAAAATTCCGATAAAATTCTACGCAAGTTTTGTCATCATACTTTTCTGTCTAAAATCAACCCAATTTGAGAAAAACACCTTTTGAATTTCAAGTTCAATTGGTTTCGTCTGGACAATTTGAATCAGCATCATAGACAAATTTTTTTTTAAATAATGCTTGACTTTAAATAATGCTTGACTTTGAGTGGGAAAAGAGGGATGCAGGTTTTTGACATTTTTTTTCAAACAGTTTTGTTTTTTAAATTGTTTTTACCGGTTTTTATTTGAGATACTTTAAAGGGCAATCAGAGCACACACGAAACTGTCCTGATACAATAAGAATTTTGCATTATAGCTGCGATTGTTGTATGATAAATACCATATAAAATCTGCAAAATTGCTATTTTTTTCCAATAAACAGCAAAATACAATAGTGTGGCTCCCAAGAGAGCAAGGCTAGTCCTGTAAAGTCCAAAAAAACTGACTTTTATGCAGTTTTTCTAAACACCATAAAACACCATACTTCAACAGTTCGACTTCCTAGAAAAAAAACGGTAGAAGAACAGCCGGTTGCTTTTCAAATCACACAAAATTGTTTGAATTCTTTTAATATTACGATTCATTTTTGTTAAACTGCTTGTGCTGTACTACAAGTTTGTTTTTTCCATGCAAGTCACACATATTTGTTTTCAGTTTTTGTGTTCAGTTTTATTGCAGCATGCACATGCAACGAAACGCTAAATTACAATCGATGCTGAAGATATTTATGCAGGCGATTGTAATTATTTTGAGTTTTGAAGAAAATAAGGTAATGCTGTGCTCAGTGTAGATTTTTTTCAGACAGTTTTTGGAGAAAAAAATGGTTATTTGGGCTCGGAATAGTTTTTTTCAATCAAAGTAAAATTTTACCACTAGCCGTTGGGAACATACGTTTTTTGACCTAAGGAAAGATCACTTTTAAAACTACGAATTTTGGTTAAATGAAGCGCAGTATGTTTGGTTTTATTATTGCGTAAACGCCGCTTAGAAACTGTTGCAATTTATATTGAGGCAAAAGCTGTATGTTCTGATCATTCCTAGGTTAGAAACACATCACTTTAAGCTTGACATAGAGTAGGGGAGGGTGGTGTTTTGGGGAAAAATGGTAAAATTTTTAAAATTATTTTTCTGTTTTAACAAATCACTTCGGTTAATCTTAAAGTAAAGTGTTAAGGCACCTAAAGACTTGGATTATTTTAGCAGTATCTGCTTTATATTTTTTTCGTATGCGAAGTGTAATTTCGCCTCTGTTTGATTTTAATCGCAGACTCCACAGGTCCATTCCACGAGTTCCAGAATAAGACACTACTGAGTTTCGACTTCTGTAGAGAATTAGCCTCCGATGCGTTTACTTTCGCTGACGATGCCAAATTGCTGTCTATAAGACAACGTCTCTCTCAGCCGCATGTTCTGCAGCATGACATGCAATTGCTTCAACGATGGTCAGAAAACAATAAGTTACCGTTCAACCTGGAGAAATGTCATGTTATGTCTTTTACCAAATTGAACCTGCAGGTCTTCATAGGTGACCACCTCCTGACCCAGTCAACTGAAGAAAAAGACCTTGGTGTTATGATAACGAATGACTTGAAGTGGAATACGCACATACTTTCCCGTTGTAAAAAAGCTCATTGCGTGCTACATATGTTGATGAGAAATGTATCTCCTCTTACATCTTGGAGAACCAAATGTGACTTGTATAAGTCTATGGTGCTACCGGTGCTGACCTATTGTTCTCCGGTTTGGTCTCCATCAAAAGCCGCCCTCACAAAACTTGAACAGGTACAGAAGCGAGCCACAGCTTGGATTCTTAGTTACGACTGTACTTACAGAGATCCCTTAGTCTTCTTGAATTTGTTACCACTAACGCTGAATCTTCAAATTTATGACCTCCTGACTTTCTCAAAGATCGTGAATGGTGTGAATGACTTCAACTGGCATAAGTGCATCATTTTCAAGAGCTCTATTAGTACTCGTTCAGACTCAGCAATTTTCGTTGATCTCCCGAAAGTGAAGAAAGAGAGCTCGAGACAAAACTTTTTCTTCCAAACTGGACGCGTGGTAAATCAGATCCTTGCCTTCGTTGATGTCTATACTCTGGTTGGCCTCAAACAGCGTTTACTGAAGTTCTTTTGGTCTTACTTTCATACAAACTACAACTTCTATCATCCATGCTCTTGGCGCTTTGCCTGTGACTGCTCACAGTGTCGTTGATTTTATTGTTGTGTTTCAGGGAACAATCCCTTCAAATCATTTTGATTTGCAAATCCTTTATAATAATCATAATAATAATAATAATCATAATAATAATCATAATAATAATAATCACAGACTCCACAGGTCCATTCCACGAGTTCCAGAAATAGACACTACAGAGTCTGCAGCATGTATATGCAGACAATTTTTTTCCAGACTCTAGAGTTGAGCATATTTTTAGGGATGTAATTGAACATACTTGCTATCATCATTAAAACGTTGATTATAACACCTTTATGCCTTCAGACGCTGGGAAGAATTTCTAACTTCTTTCATCAATATTAGCGGTTAATCCGGTTAATTTCAGGCCGCTTAACTCCAAATTGAATTTCTGTCAGCGCAAAATGTGTTGCATAACCCTGATTTTCAAGTTCAATGCAAACATGATACAACGGTACAAGCTTTCTTCGTTTATATTCGTTCTTTCTTGCGATATATCTCTTTCTATTGTTTGACTGCACTTTGGTTATGATTGAAATAGTTTCACGAGTGTTACTTTTGAAATGATTTTTTAATGAATTACTTTGCCGGTGGTTTCTATTGTTTTTACTTAATAACTTGGCAAAGTATACTTTATGACGGTCATATAATTTTGGTATACCTGTGCTTTTGTTTAACTTACTTTTCTCTTCATCGATAAATTAAATTAAAAAATGTCATTTGGCCAATTTCCTGTACCCCATCTTTTTGATATATTACCAGGGTAAAATGTACGGCCAATTTTCGCAATCAACTAACAATTCTCTATTTGTTTTTCAGTTCACTTGAAAATTGTTCACCTTACGATTACCTGTTTGAAAATTTACACTCGCTGTTTGAGGCCTGAGTTAACCGTATAAATACAGACGGACTACTATTGTTTCAAACAGTCACTTTTGTTTTATCCTCTGCTCCCCTTGGTTGTTAGTTTTATTTGATCGCGGGATTTTTATGGTGCAAACTCAGACTCATCAAAGAAATGGGAATTAGAAAATTATGACGCACTTTCTGAACACACTTTTGCTTTTTCTGTTTGAAAAGAAAAACAGGTCGAAAAACTTAACTCAGCTCAAACATTGAAACTTCATAGCAAATTCTCGCTCATCAACATGAGGTGTACAAATGAAAAATTGACAAAACTCAAGCAACGAGTATGATTTATTGTTTGAAACAGTATAGATCTATAGATCTAATGGCTTATTGTTGGAACGAGTAACATATGTTTGTCATTAGCGGTCCAATTTCATACTTTTTTCTTTTGCCCCTGATGTAAGCTGATTTTTTGAACCAATTCACCGGATCAAAATCAAGCTCAGACTGTTTTTGCGGTAAAAAAAAAGAAATCAGAGTTAATGGTCCATTTCGCACCAAGTAAATTGGTTCACAAATGGGCGCCATTTTCCATTTGGCAGTATAATAAATTACTTTTCATGACGTAAATTCGGAGTTTATTTATAGAGACCCCAATTGAGTTATTTTAGTGAAGTGATCTCTTTTGGTTGATTAATCGAATCGGGTCATTTTCACGTAATTCTGGTGTCATATGTCCACTTAATTCCAAAATAATCTCCATACCTTTATCACGCTGTGATACTTTTAAATTTGGCGGTCGCATCAAATTTGTGTATGACATCAGCCTAACTGATTGGTGATGTTATATTTCCATTCTATCAACCTTTTTAAACTTTTTCAAAGTGTCTTATTTTGGACTACTCGAACATTTGGATGATGGCCGTACAAACTTCAAAACAATTACCCATTAAATTAAATGTTCCTTGTGGTTCTGGCTGAAGGCTCAAGAATGGACAATAAAGATGTCCAAAATGGTGCTCACTTACAGACCACGTCCCCTGAGAGTGAACCCGGCCCATTTTTTTACCCACCCTCTCCGACCAGAAGAAGCGACCCCCTCCGGCCCCCAAAGACCAGACTTCTCAATTCAAATGCCGACTCCGCCATTGTTGTGAATAATTTCCAATTAAAGACTAACTGTGGACCAGAATCCCTAACCAGTTCAGCTTCATTAAAAGACCACAGCCAAAAAGACAAGCCTCCCTCTTCAGCATCCTCTTCATTTCGCATTCCTACTCCGCCAAACGGTATTTGTTTAGAAATTATTACCTAAGCCCCCCCCCCCCCCCCCCCCACAACATTCATTATCAGAAAATTTAAATTTTGGGAGGGGTTTTTTCAAAAATTGGACTTTTCAGGATCACTGAAATTATTTCCCAAGAAGCTCTTCTAAAACAATAGAAAGCTATAGCTCCCATTTTTTCAACTTAAGTTTGAGAGCTGCTAGCAAACTTTGAGGTGAAATGCCGAAGTTCTCTTTTTTAGACCATTTAAAAAAAAATTACCAAAAAAGTCATGTTAGGCGGCAAGAAAAAAGCACACAAAAAATACACACACTGCAGGTATACAAGTGTCCTAATTTCGTTATTTTTTACTGGAAAATTCACTGTAAAAAATAAGCAAAACTTGATTATTAAAACTGGTTTTGAAGTTCTTAATTCTGAATTTCTAAATTTTGCAGGAAAAATGCCGAAGAAACACATTTTCAAAACAATGATTAGCAAAGATCTGAGCGTAAAATTTTTCAATTAATACACCGGAAAGTTTCTAAACGAGTACCGTTTGACATAAGACTCCTCTAAACTCCTATCAGCGGCACAAAATTTGTTCGACCTTGACGACCAGGATATCCAATCCAGAGTCGAGAGTGGCTTGAGTGAATCTAATTTGAGCGAAAACGGAGGAGGCAGTTTAGACAGTCGAACGTCAGACGAGAAATTGCCGTCCGCGAAAAACGAGGAGAAACTACGCGAGTTCTGCTGCTTCGGAAATCTGAAAGGTGAGATCATCCCGATCACGTGTAGACAGGCGCGAATCTAGGAATTTCTCGAGGGGGAGGGGGGGGGGATTTTCTAACATTACGAGGCCATACTGTGAAACTGTGCATTTTGTGATTTGTAAGCGGATTCCTCAACAGGCGAAAATCAGATTTGTCCCAGAATCCGCAAATGCTATTTTTCTTTGATCTTCTCTGCTGTTTTGGTTTCCACGGACAAATAGCTAAAACACTGTATTGCTTAAAATTGCTCCAAACGCTGACAACTTTGCGGAATCCGCAAAAAAATGTGAGGAATCCGGAACAAGTTTGTGGAAATCACGAAAAAATAATAAAATATGGTTTTAGTAAAAATAAGCTGTCGCGGAATCCGCAACTGAAGGTCGAATCAGCAAATTAAAGGCAGAATCCGCATAAGTTTGCGGATTCCACTTACGTTTGCGGAGTCCGGAACAACCACTTATATTTGCTCGTAGCGAAATATGCAACAAAGTCAATGTGTCGACAAAATTTACGGGCTCTTTTCCAGTCCCCCCCCCCCCACCTTTCAAAATACCGAGTTTTATGTTTGTTTTACGTGTTATTACGGCTAAATGCGTGATGTTACGCTGTAAAGTATGAAGAACAAATCTGTTCACAGTTGTTGATTTGTTCACCACGCCAAATCTCATTGCATTAAGACAAGGTTAAATAAGCTTTTCAAAGTTAAATTTGAAAGGGGGGGACTGGAAAAGAGCCAATTTACGTTACAGGTATTTGTACGCGGAATCCACAGAAGTTTTTGTAAGTTGAATCCATTTACGTTTTGGAACATGTTCTAAGAATTGTCTCTGGAATCCAGGAATATACAGACAGAAAATTGTGCGCCTATCCAGTGCACAGTTTGGCCTCGTGATGAAAAAAATTTTGAAAACTTTGTCGACCTTTTTTTAGGTCAACCAAATTGATTTTTTGAGATCTCCCAAACAACTATAAAAACCCCAATTTGACCAAATTTTCTTCACCGCAAGCAAATTTTTGAAAAAACAGGCCAAAAAAGCTTTTTAGGCACTTTTTGGAAAATTTCTACCAAAAAGTTGCGTTTTTTCGGCGCGCGCTCCCCCCTCAAAATTAGTATAGATTGGCGCCAATTGCGCCTTTAGAAAAATTTTGAAGTCAGTCAGCCAAAAAGGGCTATGTCAAAATAACATAAAGGGGCCCCACCCCCCCCCCCCCCCCCCCCCCCTAAATCCGCTAATGCGAGTGGACACTCCTTTTGAGGAGTTTTTATATTCCTTTTCGAACAAGTTTTTCTTGACACTGAGATAGGTTTTTGAAAAGTTTTAAATGTCATATGAACCATGACTGAAAGGTCAAAAGTATTCAATATAATATATCACTCGACCCATTCCGCTGATTATTTGCGAAACCTGCTCCTGCGCAGAAAAAAAACTACAACAAACCGGAAGTGAAAGTTGCTCCTAACTTTCAGTGGTCGGGCCCATCAAAACAGATGAGCTTACTGCACAAGTCCAAAGATTGAACGAAGCTGAAAATAAAATGGTCAATTCAAAGTTCTAGGCAGCTTCGTCATCTTGAGTCTTTGTTATTACACCTATACATCTTAGTTGATTATAAATCTCGTTTTTGAACTATATTTTTGAATAAAATCAAATTTAGCTTGTTGTTCAGACTGCAAGTCTCCACATGAAAGTAACTTAACTGTGAATTTTACGCTGCTTGTCACAAAAACTTTTGAATTTTTTTAGAAGTTTGGAATAGATCTTGATGGAAAAAAATTTCAAACTTTGGAAAAAAACGTTGTGCAACATTTGCGCTATGTAGCTATTTTAATCGGATTTTAACGGTATATTCGCATTTAACATATGAAAAAAATCAGGGGCGAATCAAGGATTTTCTCGAGCGGCTGGCGGATTTTCTCGAGCTCTCCCAAGCACGATTTAGTTCCTGTTTTGGAAACATTTTCTGCGCCGCAGGCAATGTTTTGAGAAAAAGTTCAAAAAATGCGGTCCAAAAATTTTGACCAAAAAACCGCGTTTTTTCGACGCGCGCTCCCCCCTTCAAAATAAGTATATATTGGCGCCTGAGGCGCTTTTAGGAAAATTTTAGGGTCTGTCGGCCAAAAATGGATTTCTTAAACAGTACCAAAGGGGGGACCCTTTGGTCGGCAGGGGTTCGAATCCTTGAGGGAAGGACCGTCCCCCCTAAATCCGCCCCTGAATAAAATAAAAATTTGGTGCTTAGAAACTTTATATAAGAAAATCATCTGTTCATTAAAATCTCAGGAGAGTTTATAGTGGCTGGTATGATTTATCTATGACATTTGCTTGCAAATCAAATAAGAGGTTACAAAACGGTTCACCCTATTCCAAATTACCCTTTACCTATTTACCCCGTGCCACTTTAGCAGACGTTTCAACTTAACCTATTCCAGTTAACCTAGGCTCGTTATAACAAAAACCTACCATATATTTTTGAACAATTCCGTACAACAACTTCGAATAGATATCAAAGAAAGGTTAATTTTTATTATGAAATAGTTGCCGCATGAGCAGAAATTTCCAAAGTAATATAAAATAACTCGTTCAAAAGTGAGATGTGATCAAAGCATGGACGAGCTAAATTACATTTGACTAATATGCAATTGCAATGCGTTGTATCTGTTTCTTGAATGAGCAAAAGCTTAAAAGATCAACTCATCGAGAAACCAAATTTTGAAAGAAAATCTAATATTACTAAAAATTTGATTAGTTAATCAAAAAAGTGGAGTAGACCCCCCCTCAGTACCAGGATAAGGCGGTACTGGGCGGCGGGGTGAGGGAAAAAGAATTTTTTTTGATATTGGTTTGTGTCGCCTCCCAAAATTTCAGACATCTGGGACGCCGGGATTCTCAAGAAGATTGTTTGTGAAAAATCAGTTAAGCAAAAAAATGTTATCTCCTTGAAGATATCGACATCAAATGTAAAAAGTTATTTTACCTCCGATATTTTTTGTAAAGTCCTGGGGGTTCGTAAATTGCCATATTGGGCATTTTTTGGTCTAAATAATAGAGTATAGATGAATATAAAACAAGAGTATAAATGCATATAAAATAAGACCAGATGGTCAAGCGGACTAAAACAAAGTCACGTAACATAACAGTTGACGTAGGTTCGAGTCCCCCACTTGCCCATGTATTAATATACTAAAAAAGGGGGTTATATCCTGTTTTAACTATTTTTGATTCCAATTCGGTTCAGCCTTGATTAAGGCTGACCGCCAAAAAGAGCAGTTTGTCTCAAGGACATTACCGACCGGTTCTTGTGGCTAGCTTGCGCCGATTTGTACCGAAACAAGCTGAAGATAAAAAGTTATATGATGTTTTTGATCGATAGAGAATGCCGAAATTTATCTATTTGCCGGGTTATTTACCGAGAAATATCTCTTATTAATTTACGGATTTGGATCAGTTTTTGGAGATTAGAGCGAGCATTTTTTGGCGCCCCTCATGGGACCATTATTCACGCATTTGCACGAGGGACACGCACAGTTCAGCCGATAAACGCACAGTGTTTTAGTATCTGTGAGCAGCTGAAGTCTATTAAGACGATTTGTTAGTTTTCACCAGTGTTATTAAAGCACATTCAGTACTCCCTGTTAAAAGGCGTCAGTGGTGTTGCGGTCAAATCCCTGAATTTACCAGGCAGATTGAGTTTTGATCCATCTGAGTGGAGCTTTGGTTTTCGAAGGCGAGTGACAGTTCCTTTTTTGAGAAGGCGAGTAAGGTGCACTCGGAGAGTGAGGCGTTCCAGGTGGACAGACTGAGGCAGCTGCAGTTCACAGTGAGACACTACGCAGGTCCAGTAAGCTACTCCGCCTCCGGACTCCTGGAGAAGAGCAAGAACAGACTGCGCATCGAGAAACTCTGCCTACTGGACAACAGCTCACATGCCAGACCCAGTCAAAGCTGTTCAAAAGTCGTCGGCATATTCTCATTGGCCAAAATTGGAAGTGTGCAGTTGGACGAGGAGCCTGTAAGCCGACAGACGACAGAGCAGACAGGCGAAAGAGCAGACTGGTAGAAGAGAGGCCTGTTCAGGTGTCCTGATTGTTGACTTTTGGACTTTTGAGCTGTGTTTTTCTCGACACCCGAAGTTTTGGATTTGGTGTCGCCAATCTCCAATTAAAAAACTGTTAGAAGTTTTCAAAACCCTTAAAACTCTCCATTCGTGCTTTAAATTTAAATACGGTGTCATATATGCTAGAAATTTTCCCGCAAGCTAGCACCCGGTAACTTTTCTCAATACCCAAAATTTTTGGTTGGACAGTTCCCTTGAACTGAAATATCTTACAGTCGGTAGAGAGACGAACTGATTGACATTTTTTTCTCGATACCAAAACTTTTTGGATATTTGCGAACAGAATATTATTCCGTGAAATTGGAACATAGACAAGAGGTACTGGACTAGTTCTTAGGATTGGTTTATGACTCGAACCTGCTGACCAAAATTTTTCAAAACATTTTGTGAAAAAAGTAAAAATTTGCCAAAAAATCCTCAAAACGTCTCCAGAATTCTGCGAAACTGTGCTGTAAGATGACACCAACCTTATGTTAAGTGGTCTCGTAGCGAAATATCAGGCAAATTAAATTGAGTTTTTCATCCTCAGGTTTCTTCCGCGTGTGTTGTTGGAACTTAACCAATTTGCCTGATCCCTCACCCACCTGTGGTGAAACTGAAAGCCAGTTCGCTTCAAGTAAATCAAAGCCGTTTTAGCCCGTCCGGTTATTGACTTCGTTGCGTGACAGTATTGTTAAGTGGTCAGGTACGGTGGTATTAAGTGAGTTAAGTTGAATTCTTTCATCCTCAGGTTTACTCCGTGGGTGTTGTTGGAGTTCAACCGACCTACTTAATTTTCCAACCCCATTGGTACTTAAGCGTAACGAAGCCGTCGCATAGGTCCCTTAAGTATATGGTATTCATTCTAGGAGCTAGTTCCTTGGATCACGCGCTCCAAAAACTTC